ATACAAAAATGACCAGAATTACTTGTCAGATAGAGATTGGTGGAACCCCTGAGACTATGGCCCCAGGTTATCCTTCAGACCTAGAAATGGACTCACTGCCACGAATTGGCTCTCAGCTCAAAAGTAGAAAGACCTCCATGCAGTACACTTGCCCCAGGGAGATGCAGCCACCTACCCTAGGGAGACTCACCCCTTAGATCAATCAGCCATGAGACATCAAAAGGGCAGCAGTCACATAAAGGGAAAGCTGGACAGACAGGAATGCATAGATAAGAATGGCACAGAGAATGGGTAATTTCAGGGAGGCGAGAGGAAGAGAGTTTTTTTTTTTTTTTTTTTTTTTAATGGTTGGGGATTTTAATTGGGGCCATGAAATCAAATGTGCATGAAGTGTTGAATATAAAACAAATCTGCTTTGTAAATTTGCACACAAGGCACAATAAATAATAATAATAAAAGATTGGTGGTTCTAATTCATTCAGAGCTGCCTCTCAATATATTTCTGAAAGATCACAGCCATTGAAAAACCTATGGAGTATAGTTCTACTCTGTTACACGTGGAGTCACCAAGAGTCAAAATCAACTCAAATGCAATAGGTTTTTGTATATTTATGTAAGAATTAAACCTCAGTATTTAAGGCCATCTTAGAAGAAAGGAACAGAATGGATTCAATTGCCACTGGTTTTTACTTGTGTTTGTTTTTGTCTTGTATCACCTACCTACTGTACACTTGTCCTGTGCTGGGCTTTAGGGAAAGACAGATGAATCAGCCAAGGACTCTTTTCTCCAAGGAACACATTGTCTAGTGTAGATAAACAGATACAATTTAATGAGTGCTCACAAAATACTCTTTAAGCACAGAGGAGAGCAACATGTCCAGCCAGATGATAAATGGGTGGTCAGACATTTTCTGTGAGATGATATACCAGCTAAAATAAAAGATTACATAGGAATTAAGTTGGTGACAAAGAAACAAATGGTATTGCTGGCACTGGCGAAAATGTGAAAAAGGCATTGAAGTGAGAATTGCTGATGAATAGAGAACTGTAGGAGGCTTCATAGTGTTAAGGAGTGAAGTGTAAGGCAAAGATATGTGACAGAAGAGGTAGGACAAGTCAGATTCGGGAGAGCTGGGCTGATAAGCTTTGGAGTTGTCCTATAGAAACTGGAGAGATTTAGATTGTGTCTCTCAGTCAGGAATTTTATAACAAGTCACATTAAACTTAGCCCCAGATGAATGCATTGGATCATGTAACTCATAATGTCAAGAAAGGTAAAATTGAAGCAAACAATAAATTAAAAGTTTATGCTCACTAAATATTTCCTCTCTTTTCTCTACCCCAACCCTTTTTACATATTTAGTTAAATGTGGAGTTCATTGTTACCCTGTTATGTAGTTTTGTCTTTTGTAAATTTCAGGTTGGCTTAATCCAGAGGCTCAATTTTGCCCACAGGACTTGGGTTCCCTCTTTATCTCAAAGATTAGGCTATTGACTATTTTGCTTTACTAATTTTTCAGGCTCTACATGTGGACCTAAAAAACCTCAAGCTCATGTTCTCTCAGAATAAATCTGGTAGATCCACCTCCTTGAGAGATAAAATACAAATTCTAGAATTCAGTTTTATGGGTTGTGCTGCTCTGACTGGCCTGATTTGGGTCATGTCTCCACCCTGAGCCAGTCACTATTACCAACAGAGTATAGTGTTCTGATAAGCTCACATGCCACCCATAAATACATGAATGGAGTCAACTCCTCCATAACCATTAAAACTGAGAATGGGGAATAGTGTGATCCTAACCTCTTTCTAGAGACAGGATGAGTGAATGATGGATGTTAACAGATAGATATTTTTCTCGAAGGTTTTTAAGTAAGAGGATGATATGTTTGCATTTGTGTTTATAGATTATCCAATGGCTGTGAGGAAGTTGGATGAAGGAAAACTCTAGAGGTTGGAGAAGCAGTCAGATAACTGTTAGAGCAGCCCGTGAAGAAAAATTATGAGGGTATAAATAGTGAAAAGACTATAATGGATTTAGAGGAATATTTAGGATATAAAATTAAGTTTATATCTGTTTATTCAAAAAAGTTTCTAGTTTCAAATAAGTTTATCTTCTGTTCATTCAAAAAATATTTACTGCATGTCTAAGAACTGTAGTAGGCCCTGGAATGCAATAGCAAGCAATGCAGACATGATCTTTACCATTACAGGGTAGACAGTCTAGTTAGATAATAAGACAACTTGCAAATAAAACCTGGTATATAGATAGTATGGGGGGGGTGCTATGGTGGTTTGTTAATTGCTGTTGAGTTGACCCCAACTTATGGCAACCACATGTGCAACAGAAGGAAGTATTACCTGATCCTGCACCATCTTCACAATCATTGTTTTTGTTGTTGTTGTATGCCGTCAAGTTGGACCTGACTCATAGCGACCCCTCCTTGGGTTTCCGAAGCAATATCACTACGGAAGTAGATTGCCCAACCTTCCTTCCAGTGAGTGCTTGGTGGATTTGAACCACCAGCCTTCTGGTTAGCAGTCAAGTGCCTTAGGCACTACGCTACCAGAGCTCCTTCATAATCATTGGCACACCCAATTCCAGTGTTGTGGTCATTGTGTATTCTGAGTGCCTTCCAACCTAGGGGGCTCAACTTCCATCACTATGTTGGACAATGCAATGGTTCCATAAATACCTACAAATGACACATAACCCAGTCTCAGACATTACAGAAATCTTCCATGGCAGATAGCTTGCCAGATGAGTCTAGAAGGATGAATATGAGTTATCTAGGCAGAGGAAGAGCAGAGGTAGTGGTGGAGAGTCCTTGGAAAGATGAGAATTTGACATGTTATAGAGTAGAAATGGAAGTTCAGTTTGACTAGTGTGTGAAAGTGAAGCAATGAGTGCTGAATCTGGACATAAGTGGTTGAAACAGAGTGAATCTGAATTTTCTAGATTTATTCTGAATGCAATGTGGTGGCTCAAATGTGAAAGCATATAATAAGCCAGGTTGAGGTCAGGGCTGATGAGTTCCATTTGAATATTTTAAGTTTGAGGTGCTACAAAATCAAGGTGGTGTCAGCCAGCAGACAGCTGGGCATGGGAATCTGAAGCTTTGGTGAGGAATTTGGGAAGATACAGATATTTGAATGTCACCAAAACATAGGTAGTAGTTAAAGTTCTAAGAGTTGATTAGATCATGCACAGAGAGTATGTTGTGAAGCAAAGAATGGGCTGAGAATGGAAGTATCAAGAGAACTAAATTTCAAAGGAAAGATAGAAAAATTATAGCGTCATAAAGAGTAATAGAAGGAATGACCAAAGTTCAAAGATAACCAGAAGAATCTTGTGTACTGAGTGTGAACTTAACAACAGTTGTTAAGTTCAGAGTAAGGAGTAATCACTCATGTTTGGAGTAGACCTCAGGAACATGAGAAGAGGTAGATCGGAAAGAGTTGGTCCTTCTAGGCAAGGGGTGAATTGCTAAGTAAGATCAGAGGCGCAGTTAGCTAAATGGCAGATGTCAGTCCCCTTGTGTGTGCCATCAATGTCTGCTCTTGACTTCTCCTCTGTGTCTCCGCCTACCTAGACTAAGGGACAGCTATGTCCCTGCACATAGTAGGAGCTAGCTCAATGAATGATGACAGATTGGTTTAGGCATATTTGTAGAAGTGTATTAAATATATTTATTATTATTATTTCATTATGAGAAAAAGAGAGCCAAAATAATCTCAGAGGTCAGACCACACACATCCTATTTTCATCTCAATTACTATTTCCACATGTTTAGCTTAAGATTCTCCCTCCACCACCACAACATTTTATTCAGACTATGTGTGATGATTCTAATGCTGAGTATCCTCAACGTTTTGGCTCTTTTATAATGGTTTATAGTATTAAAATTTCTTTTTGAAAATGGCTTTTTTATTATATCCTGTATGTCCATTTGACCTTTAATGATTACAATGAGCACTTTTTTTTTCTCTCTCTCTCTCTTTCTTTTTCTTTAAGTGCACAGGTATTTGGCATCTAAATAGAAAAGTCCATTATAACACTGGTATCAGAGAGGCTTTGAATTCCAAGCCACATTAGCCCCAGATTGCCATGTATTCAAGTGAATCAGAAATTTAGAGCTTCAAGAGAAGAGTAGAAATGATCTCTTCAAACTCTATCTTTTTGTGATGGCACAAGGCCTTTCTTTCCAAGATCACTGAGAAAGTACAAATCCCAGCCTCCAAATTCCTGGACCAGCCTCTTTCCTCTGCCTCACAACGGTCCAAACACTTAGCCCTCTTCAGTCTGATTTTTTCATCAACACCACTTAATTTCTATTTCAAATGAGCCAATAAATTTAGCCTGTACCCAGAAGGCTGTCCTGTTTGTTATCTCTTTGCGTTCCCCCATGGGGCTTTCCAATGACTACAAGGATTCTGATTATGCCTTTTCCTGGTTAATGTTTAACTAAGATTGCCCCTGTGGAAAGCAAAATACAACCAAAGAGACAATTTCATAGTGTTGAAGCACATTCTTTTAACTATTTTGCCCATGAGGTTGCTTTGTATCCACATCTAGTTGCTTTCAATGGTTTCCATGATCTCTACAATGGGGCTAGTTAGTTTTCTTAGTGGTTTGGTGAGAAAGAGAGTTTTCCTTCCTTACACACAGTGGGTGGGTTGTGCATAGTCTCATAGGAAATGCTGCAGTGCTAATGATGAGCAAGCTCACCCTAAATGACGCTTGTCATCTGGAAAAGGCAAATGTCTTTCAAGCTTAAAATTACTCTATCATACATTCACTATCTACACACCTTACATTTAGATCTAAATACATTTGTTCGGATGAACTTTTCCCTATCAGATAGTGACCCTCTGTGCCCTGCACTACCATGTATGTCATGAAAAGGATCTGGGCTTCAGAGTCAAGCAGGACGGATACTGGCCCACTGCCCACAGACCCTGACAGGCACACCTCTAACCAGGTCTCCCTTCTGTGCTCTAGACTCTGGAAGACTCCCAAAAGCCTCATTCGTCTCCATCACATTAGGCGGCGTGCTGATCGGTGGCTTGGCAGCATTGATCTGGGTGGTGATTTGCAGATGGTAAGTCCCACATTCTTCAGTTTTACCTTCCACAGGAAGCAATTTTTTGTTCTTTGGACAAGGCCATTAATGAAGCTTCTTTATTTCTCTGAAGCCAGTATATATTATAAGTATCAGGAACTCATGTATCTCCAGCAGTATTTTGTACAACTTAGTTGACTTTCTAGTTCTTTCATTATGCTTTAAATAATAAAAGTGTAATGATCATTAGTACACTTTAGGTTGTATCAGAGACATGTAGATAGAGATTAAGCAACATTGAATACTTTGGTAGCTTTAACTGAAATACTCTGTAGGAATAAAAATGTCATACAAAGTTTTCTCAGAGGGAAATAAAAAGTCATCCATGGATAAAATGTTTTATTCTTCAATCGTATCCTCTCTCCCAAAGGCAAACTACCCAGAAATTAAAAGTGAAACTTTAATGCTAAAAATGGCACTACCATTGAAATGTTCAGACATAAATCTGAGAATTTCTGACCTGTGATGGCATTCCCTGCTGGGAGGGTCTTCAGAAGGAGTTTTCTCTCTAGTGGTGGGTGTCGATCAGGCTGTGTTTCTCCAACCGTGGGAGAATAGATTCAGCTTGGATTCCCTTGTTAGTTCTTTTTACCTTGAAACTATTAAGAAGTAAACTTTTTGAGTTTTTCTTAATTTTTTTAATACACAATTATTTATTTCAAATATAAAGTGTAAAAAGAAGGCAACAGCCTAAAATGTAAGAATTCATTGCTTTAAAAGTCTGATACCCCCTGCAAAATATACATGGTACTTTCTTTTCTACCTCCAGACTTTCCCTCAAACTGTTAGACTCTACATATAATACCAAAAAACAAACTCACTGCTGTCGAGCAGGATCTGACTCATAGCAACCCCTCCTTGGGTTTCCGAAGAGGTATCTTTATAGAAGTAGATTGCCCAGTCTTCCTTCTGAGGAGTAGCTGGTGGGTTTGAACCACCAGCCTTCTGGTTAGCAGTCAAATGCCTTAGGAACTATGGCATCAGAGCTCCTCTACATAAAATAGCATCTCTGTTTTCTCTTCCAAAGCAACTGTCATGCTTCCTTCAAGACACACTTTCAACCTATCATGTTTAACATCTGGGAAAGAGATGCAAGAGACATGCATTGCTGAGAGAGACACGAAGAGACACTCACTGCTGGGAGAGAGACTGTGAGAGACTGTTGGCTGAGAGATGGTGGGCTGAGTGAGACTGAGTCTTTTTTCCTGAACTTGAATTGTAGCCTGGTGCTTCCCTAATAAACCCCATAATCTGTGAGTTCTGTGTGGCTACTGCAGTGAATTATCGAAACCAGCAGGAAAATGGTGAGCTCTGCTGAAGGAACGGTTGATGTCAGAGCTGGTGAAAGGGTTGGAGGGAGGCAGCATATCTGGCCTCACAGTAATGGGCCTTGGGTTACTGTTAGTGATTCTGTCTGCCTCTTATGTGGTTAGAGGAGGTCAGAAGATGTGGCCTCCTTGCCCCTTTGGCAGGTAATAACTGTGAAATCCCTTCAAGTGGAAAGCTAATAACAATAGCTAGAAGTTTTGTGTCAGATTCTAGGTCAAGTAATTTTTGGTCACTATCTCATTTAATCTTCCTATTAATTATATGACACTAGTTAGTAGTATTATCTCCATTTTCAGTGTATCATAATAAGATTGACCAAGATTTTGTTACAAGTTTGATAAATAGCAAAGTAGGTTTTAAGCCCAAGATGAGTCTGATACTGAAGGCCATAATTATGGCCATTATGCCATACTACCTCTCTTTAAAGTTGAACTTGAACACAACATGATGAAGGAATATAGCTATTGTTATTGTTAGCTGCTGCCAAATTGGCTCCCAATTCATGTGTATAATGGAATGAAGTGCTGTCTGATCCTGTGCCATCCCCATGATGGTTGCAGATTGGACCTTTATGATCCTTACAGTTTTCTTTGGCTGGTTTTGGAAGTAGATCCCCAGATCCTTCTCCCCAGTTCTTTTTACTCTGGATGTTCCACTAAAACCTGTCCAGAATCGTAACAACCCACATGCCTCTGCTGGCAAATGGGTGTTGATTGTACATAAGCTACATTGGATAGGAATTGAACCCAAGTCTTCTACGTGGAAAGCAAGATGTTTTGAGTAATCATTGACTATTTGTTTAACACTCACCTTCTCATAAAACTTCATTCAACTTACTTAAAATAACATTTAGACAGTGTGTCTAGTTTTAGGTGGGGGAAGGTAGCAGGAAATATTCCATGTGTTGGAATATAAGAATATAAAAGAATCATTTGGTCTTAAAATGGAGCTCTGGTGGTGTAGTGCCTAAGGCATCTGACTGCTAACCAGAAGGCCAGAGGTTCAAACCCACCAGCCACTCCTTGGACTGGGCAATCTACTTTCCTAGAGATACTACCTCGGAAACCCAAGGAGGGGTCTCTATGAGTCGGATCAACTCAATAGCAGTGAACTTAGTTTGTTTTTTGTTTTTTGGGTCTTTTTTTAGTTTTTGGTCTTAAAATATAAGAATCACTTGGTCTTAAAAGCTTAAAAACAAAAACCAAACTCACTGCCATTAAGTTGATTCCTACTCATAACAACCTCCTTTGGGTTTCCAAGGTGGTAAAACTTTACAGAAGTAGATTGCCCTGTCTCCCTTCCACAGAGTGGCTGGTGGGTTTGAACCACCAACCTTCTGGTTAGCAGTCAAATTTAGCTAGTTATGAAACAGACCAAGCAATAAACAATAAATAGACCTTAGATAAACAAACAAAAGTTAGCTGAGTTCAGTAATCATATCTATCAAATGTGTATATTCTGAAAATCGACATTACTATAATTTAGTATTCATGTACAATTTTGTATTTGTAAAAATCTCTATAAACATATATTACCTTACCATTATAAAATATATTAGTACTTCTAGTTCACACTCACAAGGATGGGAGTTGTTTTCCTTAAGATTGACAACCATAAATTAAATGAATATCTTTCAGAGGAAATTTGGGAGGGAAATATACCTGCTGCACTTAATTTTAGTCTCTACAGTGTTAAAAATATGCTACTAAGCACCAACTCGTTTTTCAAAATATTACTTACTTGAATTACTTGAAAGGTGGATATAAACTTGCTAAACATGTTTACAAAGAAGAAGCAGTGAGCTAGGAAGAGGCAAGAAGCTTCTAAATGTTGTTTTATTAACAGTAACTGTCTCATTGATTTTTGACTCATGACCCCATGTGATATAGTAGAACTTGTCCATAGGGTTTGCTAAGCTGTAATCTTTACAAGAGCAGATCACCAAGTCTTTCTCCCAGTGGCCAGGTATGAACAGTCAACTTTTCATTTAGCAGCCAAAAGATTAACCACTGTGCCATCAAGGCGCCTCTTTAATAGAAAACCATAAATGGAGGGAAAGTTGATCACACAAACCCCATCTGAAACCACCATATCCACTGCCTATGGAAACTCAACAAAAGCAATACCCTGAAACAAAAGCACTGCATCCTCAGATATGTAATCTAAATTAGCTAAGCAAGAAAGAGTCATTTGCTCAAGAAATATTTCCTTAGCATATACTGTCACTTGCTTGTGCTAACCAATAGACACATTTCAAATTTCACTTCCCTTTGCATCTTGTTGTCTTAAGCTTTAGAAATCTGATACTATTTTCTTAGGGAATTGTAAGGTGATGATTGATGAGAAAGAGGGGGGGAACTATCTTAGTATCTCATACGACTAGGTGTTCAATAAAAATTAATTTCCACTTCCAATGAAACAAAGATGTTCTGATTCCACTCTTCCCTCACTTTTACCTGTCCTGCTATTTTGACACTAAGATTGTATATTTTGAGGCCATAATTATTGATATAAACATTTCAGATATATATCAACATTGATGGGTTTTCACTGAAAAACTATATCCAGACTTAACTCCATTAAACCAACTCCAAAATCAACTTTCTTTACAGTGCTATAAAAATACATCCAAATTTTTTTACATTTTTTACTTCATTAAAATTATTTTCACCAAGATAAATTATTTTCTGAATACATTTTTACACCAATAATTTGACATGTTCATCAGTTCTTTGGTTAATATCAAGTTTACCAATTTTCCATTCTATCATTGTAAGTTTTCCTATGTGCTATTATTTCCACAATTCAAAACTTCTTAGACCAACATTTTTTCATATGAATTTCATTGTGATTTTTTTTCCTACTTGTTATTAGTCAATAATAAATTTTAACATGCACTGTGTTTCAGTCCTTGTTAATCATCTCTTCTTTTTATTAGTTGTAACAACTCTAACTGTCCCCCATCATTTACAATTTTTACTGTTACCAAGGGAGTTCTGATGGCATAGTGCCTAAGGCATTCGACTACTAACCACAAGGCTGGTGGTGATGTGATTTTTCAGTTGTTGGTTTTTGTTTTTGTTTTTGTTTTTGTCTATAGTAAGATTTACCTTGATATTGATTATTTTTTAACAGTATGCATTATATTTGGAAAATGATTGATAATTTGTATTTATTTTCATCTAATCCATGAGAGAATTGTGAGCAGTTTTCTTCAAAAATGCAAGACTTCCCTGATCTTTAGTTCAGTTAACCCTTTTCTTCTGCTTATTCCCCACATCATCCCATATTATTAATTGTTCAGAAGTGCTCCCTTTAACTGCAACCTGGGTACTTTTCCTCTCCTTCTCTATCCTCCTCTCTTTATTATTAGACTAGTATATCTTCAGGACTAAGGGCCAGCTGGGTTAGCCTGAGACACAGCCATAACCCACAAGAAGAGGACTGGGCTTCACACCAATTCTCCTCTTTTCCCTTTCCCTCACCACAGAGGACTCAGATCCTAGAGCTGGGAGACAGAGAAAAGAGTGTGAGCAGACCCTTCCCTACTCCATGATTCTCAAGCCATAAGTCCAGCTTCCCCTAGGAAGAGAATTACCTCTGAATTCAACATCAGCTTGAAATTTTAAACCAAGTGAAAGTGAGTTTTAATGA